ACATACATGATCATATAAGTGGTCCACGCAGTACTAAGTGACCCTTTTCTAGCTTTTATTCTTTAATCTCATCCTCAGGACACTATGGGTAGGTGCAATCACATGTTCAATTTTATAGCTGAGAAAATAGACACACAAGAGAAGAAAGGTAACTCCACCCAGTAGGTGACAGGCCAAAACTTAAGTCTGGGCTCTATCACTTGCTCTATTAGTTTGCTAAGGCTGTCATAACAGACCACCCACAGGTTGGGTGGCTTAAGAAGAAATTTATTTTCTCACAGTTTTAAGGCCAAAGTCCAAGATCAAAGCACGAGCAGGACTGTTTCTCCTGAAGCCTCTCTCTCCTGGGCTCAGATAGCTGCTTTCTCCCATGCACATGGCCTTTGTTCTGGGGACCAGCAAGCCTGGTGTCTCCAGCATAATATGAGGGCAATAGTCACACAGGATCAGGCCCCAAAGGCCCTTGAGCAACATAATCACCTTTAAAACACATTTCCAAATATGGTTACATTTTGAGGGCTCCTAAGGGTTGGAATTCCAACCATGAATATTGGTAACACAATTTATCCAGTAATAATTGATGACTGGTAAAACTATCAAGATTACTAGACTAGACCTCAGATTCTTCAACCACAAAACTAAGCCACGTACAGGGCACTGATTGCTCCGCCTGTAATCCTAGCTACTCAGGAGGCTGAGATCTGAGGATCACAGTTCAAAGCCAGCCCAAGCAGGAAAGTCCATGAGACTCTTATCTCCAATAAACTACCCAAAAGCTGAAAATGGAGCCATTACTCAAGGTAGGAGTGCTAGTCTTGAGCAAAAGAATCTCAGGGACAATGCCCAGGTCCTGAGTTTAAGTCAAAGGAATATGGGGGCAGGGGGTGGGGGAGAAACAGTACCTGAGAATCAAATGAGATAATTCACCTAAAATGCTTACTGGTATCTCATCTACAGTGTCATTTTGTAAATGAATACAAAAACCCAAAGAGGGCGACTTGAGTTGACTTATATGTCTTTAAAGGAGAGTTTCTCTTTTTTTGCCAGTTTTGGGGCCTAGACTCTGGGTCTGGGCGCTATCCCCCATCTCTTCAGCTCAAGACTAGTGCTTTATCACTTGAGCCACATTGCCAGTTCTGACTTTTTCTGCTTATGTGGTGCTGAGGAACTGAGCCCAGGGCCTCATGCATGGAAGGCAAGCACTCTACCACTGAGCCACCTTCTCAACCCCGAGAGTTCTTTTTTTTTTGATTTTTGGTCAATTGTGGGGCTTGAAGAACTCCGTGCGCTCTTCAGCTCAAGGCAAGCGCTCTACCACTTAAGCCAATGTGCCACTTCAGGTTTTCTAGTGGTTTTCATTGGAAATAAGAGTCTCACAGACTTTCCTGCCCAGGCTGGCTTTGAACGGAGATCCTCAGATCTCAGCCTCCTGGGTAGCTAGGATTACAGGTGTGAGCCACCGGTGCCAGGCTCCCCGAGAGTTCTTATAGTACAGAAAACTACTTTCTTATACAACCTATGCATAAACTAGGAGAATTATATAATTTACATATTTTGTCTTTGGTTCTGAGAGTCTAACCTAGAACCTTGCACCTGTGGCCACTGACCTAGTCTCCATCTTTAATTGCTTCATTCATTGTGTTCAGATTTTATTACATATCTGGACGTAAGAAGAAGTCCAAGTTAAGGATTCTATTAGTAAAAGTTTAGTATTCTAAATATATTTACTGAATTATAGCACTACTGTCCTGAAAATGTATAGACAATGTTTCAATCCTCAGGAAAGGCAACCTAAGTTTTATAAAAAGCCTTTAAAAAATAAATTGGGACACTACACCACAGAGAGTACATCTATAAACTCCTGAATGGCATCCTAGCATACTGTTTTATCTAGCTGTCTTCATAATCTCGGACACCTCCCAGTCTGAAGCCAAGGTCACCAGTTCCTCTGCCAAGCTGTGAAATGTGGTTTCTGCATTCTTCATGCAGAGCAGACAGAGTTGGTATATTCAGCAGATAGGACAGTCGGATGTGGGGGCACAGCTTGACTATGCTGCAGAACCTCTAAAATCCTTCACACTCCAAATTTCCCTGAGCATGGTGACCCTCGCCATATCCTTGGACTGACAGCCCTGTCAGGTGGCAACCACAGCTTTGTTCTCCCGCAGGGTCTAGTACACCTGGTACTTGCAATTCAACAGGTATTTGTTGAGGATGGAAAGTTCAAACAAATGTATGTTGTATAATCAAATCATAGAACATTCTTCCTTTAGTACTTTCCAGACACTGCCCATGTAAGAATACCGATTTTTAAAAAAGCACTTACAGGGCTGGGAATGTGGCTTACTGGCAGCGTGCTTATCTTCCGTGCATGAAACCCTGGGTTCAATTACCCAGTATCACATAAACAGAAAAAACTGTAAGTGGTGCTATGGCTCAAGTGGTAGAACGCTAGCCTTGAGCACAGAAAGGCTAAGGGGCAGCACACACAGGCCCTGAGTTCAAGCCCCAGGACTGGCCAAAAAAAAAGAAAAAGAAAAAAAGGACATAAAATTCTCTTTCAGGGTCTACAACACAGAAGCCGCCAAAGCTTTTTCACTTCCCAATTTTGACTCCATCCCTGTATACACTGACAGTAGTTAAACTGACCATTTCTAGTACGAATTACAGGTACAATGCAATAATGTATGCTGAGCAGACCGTCATAGCCTTCTTAAAATGCAAGGAGCTTCCCGGAAAGCAACGACTGCTTTTTGCAATGACAGGGAAATTCACAATTCCCAGAGGGAAGGGTAATGGGTCACAGTGGAGTTGTTGCTCACTAGGGGAGCTGCTATATTAAGAGGAATCATGCTAACTTTTATTTTCTCAAGAACGTACTGCTATCTGATTGTTTTTTAACTCCAAGTTTGTTTTGCAAGTTTTGACCCTGCCATGGAAAATATCACTTCCGAGCTGCTCTGTACAGGGAAGGGAAGTGAGCCGTCTGCCAGAGCTCTGCGCCTGGTTCCCCGCACTGGAACTTCAGGGAATAGAAGGGTGCTCAGCTTTGCATCTTCTTTGCATCCTGTTGGGAACCAGCTGTCACCTCCCTGAGCTAGCTACTTCACAGCAGGTTCAGAAAAAGGTTGCAGGCTCCAAAAACAAAAGCACTCAACAAACAACTAAAAGGCTAATTGCCAACTGAAAGACTCTTCCTGTCCAAATTAATCTTTTCAAGTCGCTCAGATCTGTAGGTAGCAAATGTCACTAAAAAGCAACAAATTATTGTCAAAATGCTCATGTCTAAAATTTCAAGCTGGGTGCTGGTGGCTCATGCCTGTAGTTCTAGTTACTCAGGAAGCAGAGATCTGAAGATCATGGTTCAAAGCCAACCCATGCAAAAAAAGATTGTAAAGTCTTATCTCTAAAAAGCTGAAGTGGAGCTGTGGTTCAAGTGGTAGAGCACCAGCCTTGAGCTTTTGAGAAGGCTAAGGGAGAGCAGAAGGCCCTGAGTTGAGGCTCCAGAACTGGCACCAACAAAAAATTCAAAAAAGATAGAAATAGGTATACAAATAGTTCTATAATTCTTCAAATAGCAAAATTCAAGTTTAATTTTATCCATCCACTGTAAGTTATTTATTATTTTTTTTTTTTGGTTGGTCATGGGGCTTGAACTCTGGGCCTGGGCGCTGTCCCTCAGCTCTTCAGCTCAAGGCGAGCGCTCTACCACTTGAGCTACAGCGCCACTTCCGGTTTTCTGGTGGTTTATTGGAGATAGGAGTCTCACGGTCTCTCCTGCCCGGGCTGGCTTTGAACCGCGATCCTCAGATCTCAGCCTCCTGAGTAGCTAGGATTACAGGCGTGAGCCACCAGCGCCCGGCTGTAAGTTATTTATTAAATATATATAATACAAAGACTGAGCTCAAGCTTTAATGCAACTGCACTTCAGTTCAGATTTTCTCCCCTAAATAAACAGAAGTTTCCAGTTTCCCCTCACACATGAAAGAACAAAATATTTTTCCCCCTATTATAACTTCCTGGCTTGATCGACAAATTTGTTTTAGAACATGTTTTAGAAACTCTTATCTGTTAAGTTTCCACTGACCAGCACCAGCTTTAACAGTGACTGAACTACAGAATGATTAACTCCTATGATGACCTGATAAAATCTGACATGCACATGACAGAAGACTTGAAACACATTGTTAGGAAAGCAGGAGAATCACAATCATGTGGTTTGAAAAGAAGATCAAGAACGATGAGACAGAAACATTCCAAACCATTGCAAGTAACATGGGCCTTCATGAGTGCCTACCATATTAAATCACTCATGGCTCTGCAATGAAAAGGAAAAGCTTAAGTCTGTATTATCATGCCTCACTTCTACCACTGATTGAGCCTGAGAAAGAAAATTAAGACTGCCTTTGTAAGTTTTTCAATCAAAGGCAGAAATTATAGTCTGGATGTTACCCCCCTAATTAATGTGGGGTACAGGACTGGTTTATCCATTAGTCAATGGCCTTACCCAACTAAAACAGGATGCCCCAGATTTCCTTAAAAGCTGACTGGTATGGATCTGCTGGAACTGATTTTTCCAATCTATGAGTTCTTTTGTGTGTGTCAATTATTCCCCCTAGAGTTATGGCTAAGCTCTCTCAAAGGCAGAACAACTGGCTTCTTAAAGTTTGCTTCTTTACTCTCAGTAGCACTATCTTTGCATTCACTTGAGGAAAAATGAATGCTGAGACTCAATTGTTGGGTCCACATAAGGCATACTCACAATGGTCCAGCTCACAATAAGGAAGTTCATGACCTAACAAATGAAATTTGTTGTTACAGTTCTACCACCTTTTGAGATGGCCAATGACCAAGACTGCCATACTTAGAATTCAGACAGCAAGAACAAACAAGCTGTAGAGAAATCAGCCAGGACCGTGTCCCATGGTGTAGTCTCATAAGCAGCACACGGACACTTCTGTTGTAGCTTTGTTTGCAAAATGAAAAGCAGATTAACTTACATGGCTCTCTGGCAATGAACTGAGGTACAGTGTTGGGCACAGGAGTACTGGGGTTTGGAGTCCCTACGAGTTTGTTCTTGGCCATCTTCGTGTTTGCCTTAGCAAACTCTAGTCGTAGTGTCTGCGGAATTTCAGGATCAAAGCGGATGCCCTTTAGAAATAAAGAACAAATGGAAGATGTTTTCATTTCCTTAGAGTCCAACCAGAATGGTGACAAAATAAACACACCAGTAAACCCTGGCCTATCAGGAAAAAAGGTCAGCAAGAGCTCTCATTCCATTTGCACAGAATATACAAAAGCCCACAATAAGATGTGTCCAGAAAAATCAGGACACTTATATACTAAAAATATTAGTTACATGGATTTACAACTATCTTTTTCTTTCTCTGAACAAAACTATCCCGTTTTAGGTTTAAATTTTTAGTCAAATAAATTTCTAGCACAGTTAAAAACTTGGATTGCTACTTGTGAAGATATGATTGTAATACATTTGACCATGAAATATTTTGCAGCAATCAAGTCTGACACCTGAAATCCTATCAGGCCTGCGCTCTGACCAGTGTTATATATAAACAATGTAATTCTTCAATGTCTTTTAGTTTATTACCTATAAATGGAGGGAAAAAATCTGGTCTCATTTTAACTCAAGAGATTTACAAAGGTTTTATTTGGCATTACTTGGAAGACAGGAATTAATCAGTTGCAATATTTTAAGAATACCATTTGATTCCACTTCACTCAGACATTTATACAAAATCTCAACAGTTTAAAGAAGGTCCTGATTCTGATTATAGTTGGCTTACAACTACAGGGAAAGCCAAAGGATTACACAGACCTAAGAGATGACAGTAATTTCAATTATCTTTGTCCCTGTTATAGCAGTTGACCTAAAAATAAAAATCATTTTGATAACACAATTCATAAACACTATAAACAAAATTTAAAGCTGGGCATTGGTGGCTCACACCTGTAATCCTAGCTACTCAGGAGGCTGAGATCTGAGGATTGCACTTCAAAGCCCAGGCAGGAAAGTCCATGAGACTCCAATAAGCCACTAGAAAAACAGAAATGCCACTGTGGCTCAAGTGGTAGAGCACTAGTTTTGAGCTGAAGAGCACAGAGAGAGCACTCAAGCCCAGAGTTCAAGACCCATGACGACCAACCAAAAAAAAAAAAAAAAAAAAAAAAAAGATTTATGACAAGAATAATGGTATTTGGAACCCTCCCAGTAAAGAAAGTCTTCAAAGTAGTGCTGTGGCTCCTGTGGTAGAGTGCTTGTCCTTGAGCTGAAGAACTGAAGGACAGCTTCCAGGCCCAGAGTTCAAGCCCCACCGTGGACTAACTAACTAACTAACTAACTAACTAAGTCTTCATTACTAAGTCTAACCAAGAACTAATGAAAACTGTGTTTGATGCCATTAACTGTGGATCCTAATAACAATAACAAAAAGAAATCCCAGAACCGTACACTTATGTACCCCCAAAATAGACTTGGGTCCTGTGTTTTCTCTAATCCTGAAAACAAGCAGCCTACAAACACAAGTTTTCCATTCAGTGCTGTGAATGTAGACATGTGGGCCTGATGATCCCATGTCACATTTGTTCTTCTTTTAACTTGAAAAGTAAAGCGCAATGGCCAGGAGAAATGAGGAAGAATCATTGTCATTTAGTAAATGGAGAAGAACAACAGGCCATCAAGAGCTGCTCAGTTCCAGAGATGCAGGAACAAGTCTGGGACTGACTAGATGATGACAGCTGTGAAAGGAAATGGGGGTGGGGTGGGAGGAAAGAGATGTCCTCAGGGTGACACAGCACCAGCCATAGCTCTGACCCAGAGACATCCCGAGTGGTGGGGTGGGATTTCTTCCTGAGCCTGATGTCATTCTCTCAGGAGAAACCAATTCAGCCAGAGGAATGGGGGTAGGGAGTGGGGGAGTGCACTTGTGTAGATCTAACCAATCAAAGTGAAAAGGGGTGGGGTATTAGGTTTCTGAAACATAAAAGGAACTTGCTCTCTGTAACTGGTCTTGGTCTCCTGGTTGCATGGGGGAGACTTCAGGTCTAGAAGGTTGCTGGAGTACAGTGCTGGGGAATCGATGACAAGTAGCTCCCACGTGTGTATGACGGGGTGTGGTGAGAGTGTACTTGTCTGAATACAGCGTACCTTGAAATGACAGCCAATACAAACACTTGTTTCTCAGCAGAGACCATAGATCTTCAGGTCCATATTTGGGAGTATTTATTCTGTTGGGGTAGTATCTCTAATAATACATGCTCCTCATCCTAAGCTAGTGAAGTAACTCCCGCTTTAACTTGGTTTCAGGACAATACTGAGGTCTCCCCCATACAACCAAAAGACCAAGACCAGCCAAGGCACATCAACACAAAGACCTTAGTTGGCCACTGGAGATGAGGGAGTTAACATAATAAGGAAATGGTCTGTGGTCCTGTCTTAGGCAATGAAGCTGAACATCTGAATTATATGCCTAGTACAGTTCACTGGCGTTCCAGAACTCACAAGGCTCCACACGTGCTTGCCCCATCCTAAAACATGCTGAACTGAGTCTCCCTGCCCCCTTCTTCATACCCGTCTTTTTAGCTAAAATAACATCAACATCATGTTCCAAATCAAAGTTCCAGCATCCTTGTTTGACAAAAAAAAAAAAAAAAAAAAAAGCTCAGAAGTTAAAATGACCTAATTTGTTTGGCAGCTTTTTTGGAGGCCAGAGGCTTAGAATACAAGCCACATTCCTCCAACATCTTTAACAGCAGTACCATATTTGGTAATCAATATCCTGCTCAGCTAAATTTCTATCCATAGGGATTAGCCAAGTTCCAAACATCTTAAATGCTGAAGGATGAAGAGGAAGAGACAGAATGGGCAAGGGAGGGAAAACATTCATATGATGACGAAGGAGAAAAGAAAAAGAGAAAAGATAGATGAGGAAGACACAGATAAATAAAGTACCTTGTGATTTTAATTAAAGCCTAAGACTCTTGTCTGGGCAGAGTAACTTCGTATTAACTGCTGTCAGGATAAGATTGTTTCCAAGTGAAAGGAGAGTCTGCATCTCCCAAAGTCAACTTTTCCTCTCAACTTATGATTTACAACCATGTCCTATTTACACGGACCCAAAAGGAGTTTTTAGAAATCACTATGAAATCAACTGGAAAACAAACACTTATTTATAAACCAAACCAATCTGACTGACCTCTGCTACAGACAACAGTTTCCACCAGCCCAGTTTAGTAATATGTGATATGCAGAGACTGAACTCCCTTGTGGGTTGACAAGGCAGTGTTGACAACAGTGTGTTCCTGGTAATCTAGTTATACTCAGTACACTAGGATGGTGCCAGGCAGAAGGTGCTGGGGAGGGCAGGGAAGGCATAACGAGGAAATGATGGAAGAGTAGAAGTTCACCAAGTGGCCATCAAGATCAGTGCAGGAAAGGGCTTAACAAATGGCTGCATGACAGGATGCAGAAAGGACTGCAGAGCACAGACAGACAGACAGACAGACAGACAGACACACACACACTCACAAGCGCACTCATGTGTGTGTGTGTGTGTGTTCATCCTGAATGTACGGCGCCAAGATCTCAAACATCAGCGTGCACTCACGATCATTCGGAGGACTTTCTGAACAGAGTGCTGGGCTAACTGCAGTGTTTTTGATTCGCTAGATCCGGGTGGGACTAGAGAATCTGCGTTTCAACAGGTTCAAATTATACTAATACTACCTGTGGCAAGAACTAAATTTGAGAATCATGGTAAATGAAGGTAAGTATAGTGGTAGCAGGAAAAAGAAGTTCATAACAAAGTGGCAATAGACTGGATCTCAAACAGCCAGAGTAGCCCTAAGAGGAGAAACTGGGTACGGGAGCTGCCCTGCTGGTCTTTTTCCTATGGAAGGGTACCTGGGGTCCACTGTTGGTCGTATTCTCTTGCTTCTTTGATCAAAGCTGACTGTTTAGGGGATGGATGATACCCGGTTTCTTCTGTGTTAGCATATCACCATTTTTTCTTTAATCATCCTCTCTTTCTCCTCTGAACTGTTTAAGATGCAATTATGAGGTTACTTTTTCCCCTAAAATCAAGGACACCTGTTTTTCTGAACCAGGATCTAACCCAGAATCATAATCAGCATTTACTTGCTATCTTTTCCGTTTTCTTTCATTTAGAACAGGTCTTTAGTTCTTGTCTTTCACGATCTTGACATTCTTGAGTACAGGTTATTGGTTTGGAATACTATCCCTCAATTTGGCATTATCTAATTTTTTTTCTTTTTTTTTTAAACTCCGGTTGTGGGCTTTTTTTTTTTTTAAATTACAGAACGATATTTTGGGGCTACAGATATAGCTTGTTTCTCATCAAGTCTACTATTAGTATAATAGCAACTATAGGGCTGGGAATGTGGCTCAGTGGTAGAGTGCTCGCCTCACATGCATGAAGCCCTGGGTTCAATTCCTCAGTACCACATACACAGAAAAAGGTGGAAGTAGCACTTTGGTTCAAGTGGTAGAGCACTAGCCTTGAGTCAAAGAAGCATGGGTACAGAGCCCAAGCCCTGAGTTCAAAGCCCCAGAACTTGCAAAAACAAAACAAAACAAATCAACAACTATAATTCTAAACTGGTATTTTAGTAGTCTCATTTTCTACGTATCATTTTCTGTTCCAAGAAAAGCTTTCACTTTATCCTCTTTATTATTCATTTACTTAAATTGGTACCGACATATATATTGGTATTTTATCATATGATTTATAATTTACAATTCATTTCTATCTACCCGGCTGTCATACATTCACACCATCTACGGCTCCTGAACTCACTGGTTCAATCAACTATGGATTCAAAATAACCAGAAAAGTTGAGCATGGTGGCTCACATCTGTATTCCTCGTACTCAGGAGGTGAAGGCATATAAAGATCTTGGCCTGGGCACCAGTGGCTCACACCTTTAATCCTAGCTATTCAGGAGGCTGAGATCTGAGGATTGAGGTTCAAAGCCAGCCCAGGCAGGAAAGTCCATGAGACTCTTATCTCCAATAAACCACTAGAAAACTCGAAGTGGCGCTGTGGCTCAAGTGGTAGAGTGCTCCCTTTGAGATAAAGAGAACAAGGTCAGTGCCCCCACAACTGAACCCCCCC